CATATTGTATATATGAAATAAATAAATTATATTTATCTTTATAATAATAATAAATAGTAATATTTATTAAAATTCATTAGAAAAATAAAAGTATTTCTCAATTGATATACTTATGTTTAATGTAGTTATATGTTGTAAGTTAAAAAAATCATCATAATATAACACAGTAAGTTGCACAAATAAAAAGCGTCATGCTAAATATATAATAATATATATATTTTTATAAAAGGTATTTAAATTTTCAACTATTTTTTCTCATTAATTTTATATTTTAAAAAAAAAAATTAGCAAGCACCCGTGTAATACACGTGTTGATATCATTTTCCGTAAGCCAGGTTAAGCGACATTAATCCGTTGATTAAGACCAATTTGGATGGTGATTAGAGTTCATACAAGCAAGTGACGCTCCCACCAGCTTCAAGATGATTACGCAATGAAAGATTCAGCAAGAACCGACATCTTCCCTAAGTTGACCGATATCACATGTCGGCTAATACATGTCGGCTAATACATGTCGGTCAACACATATCGGTTAGTGTATACCAGTTACAACATGTCGGTTATAATTGGGTGGGCCGATATCTATAACATGCCACCTCAGCATGGTAAGGCGGCGACAACTCAGCATAATTCATCATTACGCTTATCCAAGTGGCAAGCTATCAAGAAAAGCTATCAAAGACCGCCTTTGACCTTTCAAGATGTAATGATTATTGTACGGATAAATATGGTATGTAAAATATAAAAGGGAAATAGAGAATTTCCCAAAAGGACGGACAAAAAAATATATACCACCTTGCTACAAATTACACTTCCAGATATAATATCCAAGCTTTTCATCGTTGAACATTTAGATTTACTTAAAATACCTCCAAATTTGGTTGTTGTTACTTTCCATTTGACAACAACACGGGTGTTGTACTAGTAAATATATAATACCAATGCGTGATATATATATATATATGTATATGATATTTTCTATGAATGTAATTAGGGACGGATCTAAAAATTAAGAGTATACTTGTCTTACAAGAAAATTCATTATGCTCATTTTGTATTGTATTTTACGTTCTTTCACTAGCTAGTTTGACATTGAATTTTCTTTCTTGGCCGAATGTTGGTATTTCATGTGAATTTTTAAAGATTTCACAATACAAAATGATATTCTATAGTTATTAGCAAAATAAAATAGCTACACATCCCCCTATCCCCCTATATATTAATCCATAACGCGCTGAGCCTACGTGGCTGCTTCTGGTGCTTCGGAATCTTATGTGGCAAACTTACATGCTTCGTTATTAGGTTTGAGTAAATTTTAATTTAATTCCAAACCAAAAATAGTTAGGTTCGGATTACCATAAATATGTTGATTATTTATGGTCATGTTACATGTATTAATTGCATTTTAATATCATTTCTTATTATAACTATTGAATTGTATATATATTTTAAAAGTTAATAACTTTTGTATTTTTTATCAGTTTTACATATGTAATATATCAAATTAATCTTCTTTTGATGAGCTTCGATTTAACATCCATATTGTATGTATAAAAAAATAATTTATATTTATCTTTATAACAATAACAAAATTATTTTTAATATTAATTAGAAAAATAAAATTATTTATCAAATAATATATTTATATTTCAAGTAGTTATATGATATAAGTTATAAAAATTAATATAATATAACACATGTAAGTCATTATATATTAATCCAGAACGCGCTGAGCCTACGTGGCTGCTTCTGGTGCTTCGGAATCTTATGTGGCAAACTTACATGCTTCATTATTAGGTTTAGATAAATTCTAATTTAATTCCAAACCAAAAATAATTAGGTTCGGATTACCATAAATATGTTGATTATTTATGGTCATGTTACATGTATTAATTGCATTTTAATATCATTTCTTATTATAACTATTGAATTGTATATATATTTTAATAGTTAATAACTTTTGTATTTTTTATCAGTTTTACATATGTAATATATCAAATTAATCTTCTTTTGATGAGCTTCGATTTAACATCCATATTGTATGTATAAAAAAATAATTTATATTTATCTTTATAACAATAATAAAATTATTTTTAATATTAATTAGAAAAATAAAATTATTTATCAACTAATATATTTATATTTCAAGTAGTTATATGATATAAGTTATAAAAATTAATATAATATAACACATGTAAGTCATAAGTAACACATATCATTCTAAAATATATAGTAATATATATTTTTTTTTGTAAAAAAATAAACTAAATTTAATATAGTTTTCTCATTATTTTTAAAATTTAAGAATAATTTTTTAACAAGCACGCGTGTAATACACGGGTGTTGTACTAGTCTTAAATTTAAATCCAAATATGATATACAACAACCACACTATAAGAGATTAAATTACTTACACACACGCATACACAAAATTACTACTTCATAAACAATCAACAAAACAAAAATTAAAACTAAATGATCCGAGCAGTTACTATTAAAACCCAAATATCCCATCTAAAATGAGAAAATAGATAAAGACAATTAGACAAATGAAACAAATATCTAATAGAAACAAATATTAATAGAGAGTTTAAAAATATAACTTACTATTAAATCGTCTTCTTGAAAGTAGTCTCTTTCTTATCGATTAGTTTTTTTCCCTCTAACTTCATTGTTCTGGTGTTCAAAGAAGGGACATGGTCGTGACTAATTTATTTGATTGAATTTTGGTGTATAATGGTATTTTGTGGGTTTGTGTCTAATGAAAAAGGTAGATAAAATATATATAATATTTAGAATGTTGTTTGTAGTCTTTGGACTTAAATCAATAAGTGAATTATTTTAATGGATTAATGAATTAGCTTATTGGATTGGTCTAGAAATACAATACATTTTTTCTCAAACTTATAATAGTTGTTACAGAAAAAAAAAGAAAGGCCTGGGAACAGTCCATGACATTGTTTAAAAATATTCGAAACCTATGCAGACATTGTTTAAACAGTTCGTTACTGAGAATTGTGACAAAATAAATAATTTTTTTTTCAGGAATCGTGTTTTTTCACAATGAGACCACTTCGGTTCGGTACGAGAAAAATAAGTTTTTTTCCCAACCCTACAACAATGTATATTTGTGTTATATAACGTTGTGATTTTGGAGTATGTCTTTTTTTTTTTTTTTTGTTTGACGAAACGATAAGAGTTTATAAAAAAACACATAATTACAACTGGATAACAACCAGAAACAGCTACTTAATTGAATCCATTGAAAGGTCGGCCCAAATGGCAGCCTAAACACCACAATACAACACACTCACGAGAATAAAAAAAAGTCCCAACATAGATAATGAAGATTTTTGGAGTATGTCAATTCAACTGAAAATTATGCATATTTTGAAGAGTATGAGTATGTAATTGTTACCTAATTTTTTAATGATAAAATCATAATAACTTCACATATACATTTTGTTACTTGTCTATGATGACAAGCGTTGTCAAGATAAAATTTATCATTATTTTCTAACTAAAAATTCAAGTGTACGAGAAAAATTATATTTGTTATATTTGAAAAAAAAAAATTAATGAATTAAAAATGATCATTTATTTATCATCTATCAATAAAAAAAAATGATCATTTATTTATTTATTTATTTATTTATTTTTTTGGTACAATGAAAGAGGCTTGGCGCCTAAGGATTTAAGAGACTAACGTACGACGTGGGAGAGCCACACCCTTGAGATCATGTTCAAGCCATGCTTCCACGTCATTGGGGGGAGAAGATAACCTTTCTAACCCTATTGTGGAAAATGCCGCAAGTGCCGCCAAATGGTCAGCAGCAAAGTTGGCTTCTCGATGCACATGCTGGAGACGGGCGCTCCAATCTCTGTGGATTAGGCTCTGAATGGCTCGAACAAGTGACTCGTGGGCGATCATTTATTTATTTAACAGCAAATCCACACCATCTTGTTTTGTTGTTGACATTTGTCAACATCTATCGTTACTAATTGTTCAAAATCATCATTACGTCCCAACTCATTTCATTTGATTTTTTTTTTTTTTTTTTTGGTACAGGGACCTTCTGGTTTCCGGATCTACAGGGAAACCGACTAATCCGGAATCGAGCCGGGTAGGACCACAAGGGCGGCAAAGCTCTCCCTCAAGAGTTTTAACACTGCTGCATTCCCAGGACTCGAACTCGAGACCATTGGTTAAGCTGGAAGAGACCCAAACCATCTCATCCAAGTGCTCTTGGGTTTCATTTGATTTTTAATCTCAAGCAAAACTTAGACTTGTCACCTTTGTATAAGAAAATAAAAAAATTAAAATTAAAATTCTGAAGCAAAATCTTTTTCCTGTGAGCTTAATTTTTCTTGTCTAATGGCAGAGTAAGTGGCCTTTTGCTCTCATGCATGTGTTGGTTGATCTTCAAATCTTTTTTGTCATCTTCACTTTCCTTCAACTTCTCCATTTTTATTATTATTATTATTATTATTATTATTATTATTATTATTATTATTATTATTATTATTATTATTATTATTATTGTAAATTAACTATTGTGATATGCCTAATTCTAATCTTTTTGTTTTTCTTCTAAATTTAATTTAATTTCATTTCATTTCATTTCTAAATTTTAATTTGCATTTACATATCTGGTTCTTGGTTGCCTAATTCTATCTTTTTTTTTTTTTTTTAAAGATCAA